TATATATATATATATATATATATATATATATATAATTTTAATAGCCAATATTTGGTGGAGAAATTCTAGAATGTCAGAGTAATAAGGTTTACAATAGTGGGTCCATCAGGGATGTATTTTACTGCCCCTGCTACTTATCACATAAGTTAAATTTGTTGAATATCCTTCACCGGACTTAGCAGAACCAACCCCAAATTTTCTTTGTGTGTGTGTGTGTATGGGGCGAGTGTGTGTGTGTGTGTGTGTGTGTGTGGATGCTGTAGTATTTATATGCACATTTTTACGTTCAGTCATTTATAATTGCTCTGAAGTCAACTTTCGTTACCACTGTCTGGACTAACGCAAGACATATAGCACCTGGGATTGAACCTGGTACCCCTGCACTATAAATCGTGTTGGCAACCTCTAAGGCACAGACGTGGAATATTATTACACTGATATGTCAGATCAATGAGGCATCCCAAGGAACATAAGTGCAATGAACTCATTGCAACTGCAGAGGAGCAGCTGCATAGATAGGTGGATAATCAAAACATAGTAAAAACAGCAAAAACATAAAAAAATAACACTGAAAACCGAAATAAAAATATGTATCTTACAATAACAAAACATCCTGGCAAGATTTTCATAGAAAGCCAGCTCAATCAAGTAACATACTTTAAGTATTCAGAGAGCGTTGCACGCTGAATATTGAAAGTTGAAATAAGAATTGACATCACAGCACTCGCCAAACTCCCATAAGCGCTCCGTCCCCATCTTCAGCAGCCATCGAAGAGCTCTAATTCCTATGGCACCAATAGCCGTATGATTGTATACCATTCTCTTCCTTCCCCTGAGTGTTGATCGTCGGGCACATCCACTTGTAACTCCTTGTAGCGCCATTCTTTTCAGGCCGTAATGATATATCTGCACCTCTGCACTGTTCACTCGTTTCCAAAGCGCCCTCACAATATCTAGCTTGTCATACTTCAAGTCACCACAAAGTGGTGCATAACGGGCTAGTCTATCTGCCTGCTTATTTACCAACACACAGGCATATCTGGAGAAAATATTCAATGGAAGCTAACAACCCGAGACTTCTCTTGAAGGGATGCTTGTCACTCTGCACGAAGCACGCCTGTCTTCCACTTTCTCATCATGCGCTGTGAGTCAGTTACAGTAACAGAATGTGTGTACAGCTGATTCTCAAGCAAGCGGAAGGCAGCAGAGACTACCTCCACCTCCATTCTCAAACTAAATGTTGTGATATCATTTTCAAGGCTTTGCTTCACTAAGCTGCGTACATTCGACTTTACTATGGACCCCCATGCACTAAGTCTGCCCCTCAGCACAGAGTTCTAGAGTGTGTAAGATCATTTAATGTAAAAATGGAAGCAGAGATGGATCATAGATGCAATAAAGCAAATCAAAACTTAACACATAGAAACTAACGTTGCAGAAAAACAAATGTCCCACTTTACACAAAAAGAGCAATATTCTAAACATTTTTTTTGACGTAATTATACTGTTAATGTCGGCTCTTTGGCTAAGTCGATGCGAACGCTTCGCAACGCCGGGATGCCGGGTTCGATCCCAGCTGCAGGCCATGAGCCTTGTGTTGGTTTCGACAGTGGTATCAAGAAAGCCGACCGCCCAGAAGCAATGGCAAACTACTAGACGTAAACTTGGTTCTGCAACGTATTGTAAAGGATACGCAACTAACCTTTAATAATACTGTTAATGCCATTACTAACAAAATGAAGCGTCCAAACAACAACAGAATAAAAAGTCTACGGCATAGCCCAAATTTATCTAGAGATATGACTTGCAGTAACGTTATCTGGACAAAAGTTTAGGTGTTACCAATATTAAACTTCAAAAAAAAAACAACAAATGAAATAGTTCTGACACGTACCAAGACTATAAATCACTGTGTATCCATTTTATTTAAAAATTAATTGGTTATAGATACTCTTGTAAGAGAATTTTATATGTAAGTCTTTGATGAAACCGCTGAAAAATCGTATGAATAAATGGAACATTCATTAGCTACTACATTGATTCTTCTTCTTCACGTTCACCAGCTGTAAGCGTCGGTGAAGATGCTTTATTTTCCCGCCAACGCCAGGTCTTTTGTTTCAGGACTTGTGTGTTCACATCCGATACACACATCAGGATTATTTTTGTGCAGACTGTTGGTTCTTTGTCTTTCAGGCAGATGGATTTCGACTTCAGAAGCAATAACTATCCTATCTGCTTTAGTTTTACTTCTGGTTGGGGACTTGTTTCTTTGATAAGCGCAGAATAGTTTTGAAACTTCTTGACAATTATGAGCGCCGCACCCAGTCCACAATCACTTGTGGCTCAGCACCACGTCTCCCAAATATATAGATCAGTACGGCTGTTCCATGATTATCTATATCGATTGTTGTAACATATGTATTTTTTTAAACAAACATAACTAGTTACTCTGCTGCCTTCACCTGAACCTCCTACCTTTTCTGGATATACCATTAATAAAAAAAAAATAGTAATAATGAAATATGTAACAGTATTCTTTTTTTAAATTCCTGAAAAGACATAATGATATAGTGTGAGACATAATTGCATGTGTGATGTTCTATGTATTTATCTAAACATCCCCTCCCTGCCAGTGATCATTGGATTCAAATGTTTTAATGTTGGATTACTCTTATTCTATTCAGCATGAATTGTGTGTCAAAAATGTTCTATCTACTCAATTAGAAGTTAAAAAAAAAAGGATCATTTGTCAACCAGGCACCATGATCTGGTATATAATGATATTATTCGATAGAGATCTTGCTAGTTATGTAATGTCTTCTTTGAAACACTGTATCTGTCATTTGTACTCATGTTTCCAACATATTAAATATTATTGTTTTCTGATAATTAAGTGATAATACTGTCTTTCTAAAATAAAGTTCATGCAAATCATAACTTTTTTTTTTTAAAAACTACTATTGACAGTTACACAAATGATACGATGAGTATCAAACTGGTTAGTTGTGTAGAGTCGTAACTAGGATTATGAGCTGAATGTCTTGTAGCCGACTTGTACACGTCGTCGACGTATGCAACACAATTTACGATAAACAGACAAAAAAAAAAAAAAAAGCATGTTAAAAAAAGCCTTGTGCAGAATATGGATTAGGAAAAACAAAATAAAAAGAGAATAATGTAATGAACATCACACATAACGGATGCATACTAGACAAATAAAACGTTTTTTGTTAGACATGGTGGGGAATGAGCAATGTTATAGATACAGAAAAATGCCTATGGCATATGGAATAAAACCTGATTACATGAATTGGATCACACTTTAAAAGCTATCCTATGCTAGCCAGCATCAATTGCACATAAAAACCATTATAATGCAATGTAAGTCAAGTAGGAAAAAAAATGTAAAACTAAAACTAAACCTAAAACTGTTAATTCTAATGTCAAATCTGTAACGGTGTTTAGAGTGGAAAACACCGAGAACAAATAAGGCAATCACTACTAATACACTGCAAACATTAAATAGCATAAATAGCAGGGGATTAATTCTTACCTAAGAGAATGTCACATTGTATATGGGCAATACAAGTACAATTTTTTTTTAAATCTTCATACACTATAACGTTGTGGGATGACCGTAGTGGTGTAGTAGCTAGAAGCACGCCTTCCCACCAAAATGTTTTAGGTTTGAATCCGCATCCAACCATCGTCATCATCCAATAGGAAGTACTTATCAAAATCGAGCTTATCTTCCAGGTCGACCCAATCTTATCTGAGTAATTTAACTATTTCTATAGCCTCAAGCGGTCCGCCACTGTCTATTTATGTAAATTACTCAGTACGCATATATATATATATATATATATATATATATATATATATATATATATATAATAAGTGAACTATGTATTGACTGGCACTCATAGGAAGAAGTAGAAAGATAAAAGAACATACTATACAACATACAAAATCGAAACTGTGCGGAGAATCGAACCCGACACCTCCAAATGGTATGTGCGCCTCGCTATGAAATCAAGTATACAAGGAACATGACCAATTAGGCACCCATATTCTAGTGCGTATTGCTATGCTTTTACTTCTTTCTATAAGTGCCAATCAATACAATGGCTGTTTATGTGTGTATATATAATAAGGAAGATAATGAAGGACAATACCTGAGCCATCTTCTTCTTCTTTTCGTTCCCCGGGTGTAAACTCCAGCGAAATGTTCTGGTTGTTCATCCACCACTGGACTTTAGCCTTGTTCCAGAACCTGAGTGGTGCGTGCACATCCGTTTTACAGATCTGACATATTTATCTGCAGACTGGTAATTCCTTGCCTCTCAGGCAGATGCACTCCGACTTTAAAGAAAATTCCCCAATAGTCGATTCTTACGACATGCTTGTTGGAAAGGCAATGGGTCTATTCTTGTTGTCTGGACAATGGGGCCCCGGAACCAACACGTAGAATCCCTGAGTCATATAAAACATGTATGTGTACAACTGGAGGATAATTAGGATTCTGATGATGTTATTAGTTCACTTTCGGCTACTGTGGCTTAGGCGTTGTGAACCGCTTCGTAATTACCATGTAATCTGCTCAATTCTAGCTGCGGGCGATTTAGTAGCAGACCGCTTTGCCTTGACTTCGACAGTGGTATTGAGAGTCGACCAATCAGTGAACAATTGCAACAAATAAACTTACAACTGCCTAACGGAACCAAAATAACCAACACCTTATTGGGTTGGTTTTTGCAACAATCTGTGAAATATACGTAACTATCTTTCATTAGTAAGTTACTTTAATGATCTAACACTTTACACACACACACACACACACACACACACACATATATATATATATATATATATATATATATATATATATATATATATTGCTTTTCAAAGGTTTGTCCAAGCGAAACTATAGACTGAGCAAAAAGAAACCAATTTATATACGTCCTAACCTTTTGCACGTGCAATATTCAACAATGGAAATCATGCGAAACTATACAGACAATATACATAAATCGCATTTGCTGTTGAACATGGAAGTGATAGTGATTTTCCAATGGATTATCTTTACTGTGCTTTGTCAGACAATTGATGTTTTCGGGGTGGTAGCAAACATCATCAACGTGATTTGTTTTATCAAGCTAGGATTCAAGGACCCAGTCAATGTCAGCCTACTAGGTAAATGCCCTTTCTTATGTATGTTTGTAAAAAAAACACACACACAAGCGCACACAGCACTTGTATTATTCTATCTAACGCAGTGGCTACACGCTCACTTACCGGATCAAAGCTCCACATTCAAGAGCTTTAATAATATGGGTACCAGGTAAAATCTTTGGAAGAATGAGCAGCTGGCGAGATGTTGACCATATAACATATCAATGTCGATTGGTTTATAAAAAAATTAGGTCACGCGTCGATTGATTTATAAAAATGTAGGTCACGCACTATATGCATGACGTGCATGCGGCGTCAAATAGGTCATCTAGGGAAAGAAAGGAGCAAAATATAATAATAAGCTATTGACACACACAAAATAAAAATGCACTTAATTGTGAAACACCTGGGTCTTGCGTTGGTATCGACAGTGGCAACGAGAACTGAATGTTCAATAAGCACTAGCAAACTACTGTTGAGCGTAAAATGTGCCTAGCAAAAACACAACAGCCAAAACAATTCTGAGGTTGGTTCTGCAACGTCCTGTAAAGGATACGCAACTAACTAACTATGTTGATGATACAATGGGGCTGCTGCTTTTAATCAGACTTATGTTGAAACACTCATTGATTCCGCAGCCGAATGTTGAGCTTGGTTTTTGTCATAATTGACATTGGCTCCCAGGCCGTCTCAACCTAACATGTAGGCCAGTTTATATCATGCCATCTAAAAGTGACGGTATGAATTGAATATCTATTTGTCTATTCATAACAGCATATGCTGGATGTCCTAATGGTAAGAAAAAAACATACCTTAATTTAATATTAATATCTTTAAGCAATATATTTACACTTTGTTTTTATTCAGTTTATTTTACGATACCATCTCTACTACAGTCATCCTTACTGTCAACACAACTACAGGTTAAATAGTGTGCTGCAGAGACAGTTACTAACATCAAAGCAATTTCATGGTAAATTGTAATACAATTTTGAGCAGGGTACCAGCCCCCCCCCCCCCCAACTCCCATAAAGAAATGCCGGTGCTCAATAGAAGAGGGAAAGGAGGGTGTCTAAGTATAGGTGAACATATATGATCCATTAAACGCTATGATAGCCAGGGAAGTTCTATGAATTAGACGGCTTTGGCCCACGGAAGCAAATAATTGCAATGTGTTTTCACATTCTGGATGAGTCGGCAGGAAACATAAAACTAAGAGCGATAAACTATTTAGAATGTGACGTAAGTAAGAAGACAATGCAGAAACGAGATTTTAGTTGGGGAAGGGGCAGGGGGTTGAGGGCACTACATGAAAACAGCAGGCTACAGGACACAAAAGCCGACCAAGAAGGAGATGGGTAGAGGGTAAAAGAACCCCAATATAAACGCAATACGACATTAACGCAAGCTCTGCAACTATAAAAAGACGAGAAACAACATACATCTTATCTCGGCTACGCTTTAATGTTTAATATTTAATGTTTAATATTTAATCTGTGCTTCCACACTGTTTCCTCGCCCCCAAAGGGCCCGTACAATATCTAGCTGTCATACATCAATTCACTAGCAAGTTGTGTAGAGCCAGTCTGTTTATTTCCTCTATACACCGGCATATCCTGGCGAAAAGACCCAACTGCTGCTAACTACCGGAGGCCTCTGATGAGATCATTGCAACTCTTCACGGATCAAACCAGCTTCCACTATCTCAACATGCTCTATGAGTCGGTTACAATTCCAACATGTGTTTACAGCAGGTTCTCAAGCCAGCGACAGGCTGCAGTTACTGCCTCCACCTCCATTCTTAAATTAGATGTTGTGGTGTCATATGCCAGGCATTGTTGCACCAAGCGACACCTATTCATTTTTGCTAACAACCCGCATGAATATCGTCTGCCTCTCAAGACAGACCAATTGGACAGATTACCTGAACGAGAACTGTCACGTATCGATTGTTGAACTTCTGTCTTCAGATCACGATGGCCAGTCCCTACACTCACGCCCCAGTGTGACTAGAACCTTACGCTTTACGACCTAAGAAGTGTGACTACTACAGAAAGCAGAAGAAGCTGCTGCAGTATGCACCAGACGAAATGCAACTGACTAGGCCGGATAATAAACTGTCCAAACTTTTGAGGATGTCTTCTCTTTTCAACTATAAAAGGCAAATTAGAAAGACAACTTCTATACATAATTAGGGTGGTCACCAAGAATGAGAAGTAGAAGAGAGCTCTGAGCAGCTTCAAATGCCAATGTGTGTGATATAAATACCGGATCACGAGCTCTCTAGCTGCCTCACATAGAACATGATGATTCTCACTCTTCTGCGTTTGTAGTTAAAAGAGCTGTTAGCGTGTTATGTTACGGTTTTCAGCAGTCTGCGATAGCTACAATTCGTCTCAGTAATTATGATTTCAGAAGTAGTCAGTTTCTACCAAATGCTTTTTAAAGATTAAAGTAGAGTAAAAAAAAAAAAGCTTTGCCAAGCGTTCAGACGTATAAGGCATACCTATATTTTATATAGTCAACATCACGCCCCTACTTTCCATGTCTCTTTACCTAAAATGTGTTCAAAGATGAGTCGACCTGGGAGCCAAGGCAGCTTTTTTGAAAAATACAAAGCTCAGCTGAATATGGACCTGAACCCACGTCGTCCGGAATCACAGGCGAGGGTATAGCCGCTACCCTACGTAGCTATCTTTTACGGAAAGGGGTCTACGTTATCCCCCCCCCCCCCCAAAAAAAAAAAAAAAAAAAATTGCCCCAGAACACACATAGGGACTTTGATTATGATATATATAGCATTTTAGTTTAGTCGACTGATCAACATCATGGCAAACAGGTGTAAAGGCTCCGTTATAGTGTTTCAGCGCAATAAACACGAACTCCGCTGCATCTGCGAGGATCCTGAAATACTTTAGGTAGTTTGTAAACTCCAAATTTTGCCCGGGAAGCCCCGTTAGGCTACTCTTTTCGATTTCCAAAAGCCAGAGATTTTTTTTACGCGCGCAACAATACACACGGGCATCCGATCCTACTACCCAGAGACCAAGGAAAACTACTAGAAGTCCACGTGAAAAAATCCCAGGGCTAACCGGGATTTGAACCGGACCCTCCAGCACTTGAGTCGATAGCCACAGTATACCGATACAGTTACCTATTAATGCATTTCTATATTTGGTTTGGGAAATCCTAAAGTACAATTATACACATTGGGTGTACCGTTGACAAATCCTGTAGATGTTCATTTGATAATATGACCTATTTTACATTTACTATTGAATCATAGCATACGCTTTCTGAAAGAAAGAAAAATACCAGTGCAATTATGTAAGCCTTAGTCATCGACTATGTTCTCTGTTATGATTCATGCTCAGGAATAGTTTCGATTGCCTTACTTCTTCCTCGTCACACTATTATTTTAGATTTTGGTTCACGTGCAGTGATTTTCCCAATTGCATGTTACTGTGGCTTAGAAAGGTGAGTAAGACAAGATATTATTCCTGTCAGAAAAGACGATAGTCTTCGAACACGAAAGGGAACACGTAGCCTGACAGTAACCGCATTCATCTATCTCTGGACCGGTGGGTTTTTTGTTTTCTTTGGGAGGTCTGTGTGGGTCGGGGAACTAGTGAACATTAAACCCCCCCCCCCCCCCCCCCCCCCCCCCCCCACAAAAAAAAAAATATCGAACCTGTTGTAATTATCGTGACGTTCTCAATCTCGTTAGTCACGTGACCATTATCATGACGATGGACAGTAATGATGTTATATTTTCTAGGAAAATAATATTGCCGGTACTCGTCCAAGAGTGTCTGTTGCACTTGCGCAAAATATTTGATACACTCGACAGATGCCGGTACTGGTACAGCTCCTTACCGCCAGAAAAACTGACCTGGTTCAGGCCTAACAACAATAGTTTGGGTATTCAATATAATGTATTTTAAATTTTATACATATATATATATATATATATATATATATATATATATATATATATGTGTGTGTGTGTGTGTGTGTGTGTGTGTGTATGTATATTCAAGTACATTTACCAATATATATGTCTTTCGAATCATTACAGAAAAGTGTGCTAGTCTCGTTGTAGGTACTATCGTTTTGGATGAAGTGTTATGCCTTCACACAGTTTAACAGGTCCTCCATTTCATTTTCTGGTCACCTTTACTTCCTAAAATTCCTTGAAAAATCGGTTATTATCTGTTAAATTTACTTTACTGTGTAGACATGAGATTTGCACTGGTAAAATAATTAATCTTGCAACTTTATTAAAAATGAGCTGCCGTGGTGCAGCGGCAAGAAGCGCAGCTGCTGATCAGAAGGCCATGGGTTCAATTGCATCTGGGTGCCTTTTTTAATTATATACATATGATTACCATTGTGCACATGAACAGCCTGAGTGTAATTTCAACGTTTCCACTCCTTAAGGCGTATAGGGCATATGGGACTAGACCTATATTTTATAGACCAATCAGCACAAGGTGGGTAATGTGGTCAGCGTCACGCCGACCGCCTTCACTTTTCTGGGACTGCTTCTGGTACGGACTCAAAGCTGGTTCGACCTGGGAGCCAAGGTCATTTTTGAAAAAAGTCAGGCTCCGCCAGGAAACCAACCCACGATCTTCCGATCCGCCGCGAGCGTCTAGCCGCTCGGCCACGGTGACTCCCTTTACAATGAAGGGAGTCTCAAAAGGTTCATTAAAAGCCACTTAGTGCTTGAGATACTCACGTTCGTTTAAGAAGACCATCATAATTCATGTCTTTATGACACATATTAACCAGATCTTCACAGTTTGTATTAAGTGCATCAAAAGTAATGGGGTTCAATTCACTGAAGAAAGAAATCAGATTTCCAGTTTATGAATAAGCATCTGCACGTATTGTAAATTTAAATATTGCAGTTGTCCAGTTTAATAAAAAAACGTTTCCACTTTTAACTTTAAATTTTTACTCAGAAGTACCTCTTCTAGCAGTTCTGCTGATGCGTCATCTCTACCAAGTCGCAAACA